AGGAGTGCAGGCGGCGGTGCCGTCCTCAGCCTCCTCCTCCTCCTCTTCGCCCAACTTTCCCGCCTTGGATGGCAGGGAGGTCAGGTGCCTTCGCCGCCCCTTCCACCTCTCCCCGCATCCCGTCCCCTCCGCTGTCCCGCGGGCTGTCGTGTGTCACACACACACACACACCCCCCTCCACCTCTCCCCGCATCCCATCCCCTCCGCTGTCCCGCAGGCTGTCGTGTGTCACACACACACACACACACCGCCCCCCGCGCAGGGGCTGCGGACCTTCCCTGTCCCCACGGGTGCGGGGATGTGAGCGGGCACCGTCCCCCCGCAGCCGGGCTGGGCTGGTGGGGAGCATCGCAACCGCATCCCCAGGCTGCCCGCAACCGCGGATGGCGCGGAGGAGCGCGGCGGGGGCTGCGCAGAGCCGGGAGAGCCCAGGGACCCCCGGGCTTGTGTGTCCCCCCCACCCCCGAAAGGCGCGAACATAGGGGTGCGGTGTTGTTTGCGGCCAAACTGATTTGCACTGATTTCCAGGGCATGGCGGGTGTTCCCCCGCGGAATAAACGAAACAGGTTGTGCTTTTCCCCTCCTGCAAGAGGGGGCGCATGGCGGGTGTTCCCCCGCGGAATAAAGGAAACAGGTTGTTCTTTTCCCCTCCTGCAAGAGGGGGAGGCGAGTGCAGAGGAGGGCAACGAAACTAGTGAAGGGCCTGGACAACAAATCGTATGAGGAGCGGCTGAAGGAGCTGGGGATGTTCAGTGTGAGGAAGAGGAGGCTGAGGGGAGACCTCATCACTCTCTACAACTACTTGAAAGGACACTGTAGAGAGGTTGGTGCTGGTCTCTTCTCACAGGTAATTAGTGACAGAACGAGAGGGAACGGCTTCAAGCTCCAACAGGGGAGGTTTAGATTGAACATTAGGAAGGAATTTTTCACCGAAAGAGTGGTCGGGCATTGGAACAGGCTGCCCAGGGAGGGGGTGGAGTCCCCATCCCTGGCTGTGTTTAAGGGCCGTTTAGATGCAGTGCTGAGGGACATGGTGTAGGGGAGGACTTTGTAGAGCGATGATCCCAAGGGTCTCTTCCAACCTCAATGATTCTATGAAGAGCCGGGCGCGGGGTCCCCCGGAGCCGCTGGGCACGCTCAACTTCTGGTCCTCAGCTCCCAGGTGGTGTCTCTGCTCCACTACTCACTCGGTAGATAAAAATAAATCAATAAATCACACGGCCCTTGTAGTCACCTGCATACCTTTCCCTTCTTCTAAGTAGATTACTTGAAACTGTAGATAAGAATTATTTAATATTTTTTTTTCATTTAATCCTGTAAAATCCTGTTTTCAGATATTTAGTGAATGAAACTGATAAGCCACACTTACTCTAATTTTAGCCTCTCAAGAGCTATCTTTCTATGAACTTAATGTTAATTAAAAAGAGAATCTCATACAAGCCACTGAACTGTATAGATAAAAAGGTCGTGACGAACCAAATGTCATTTTTTGGCTGGCTATGTAAAATAGCAGTGTACAGTCTTTATACAGAATGCTTCACATATAGTATAAAATTTGATTATATGTGTGCATACGTACATATATACAAATCGTCACAGAATCACAGAATATTCATGGCTGAAAGGGACCTTTGAGATCGTGGAGTCCAACCACACAAAAAAAAAAAGCCAGCACCCAGATGCAACCCAACAATCTCAGCCACTGGAGCATGCCCTGCAGTGCCACGTCTACACCTTTCTGAAATCCCTCCAGGGATGGTGACTCCACCACCTCCCTGGGCAGGCCCTTCCAGGGCCTGACCACCCTCTCAGGAAAGTCATTCTTCCTCAGATCTCATCTAACCCTCCCCTGCCCCAACTTCAGACCATTTCCTCTGCTCCTGTCATTATTGCCTTGGGAGAAGAGGCCAACCCCCACCTCTCGACACCCTCCTTTCAGGGAGTTGGAGAGGGCAAGGAGGTCTCCCCTCAGCCTCCTCTTCTCCAAACTCAACATGCCCAGTTCCCTCAGCCTCTCCTCGTAGGACTTGTTCTCTAGTCAGATCTATTATATATTTTATTAATAAATACATACTGTTACAGAGAAAAAGATACACCTAAACTTGGAATAAACTTGGAAAAATGCATTTAGATTTTTTATGAAAGTGACATGTTAAGAACACACATATGTTAACCATAATACAGTGCTTTGCAATGTAAAATAGCAGGGAGTGGGGGGGTCAAATTAAGCTGGCAAAACCCAGGTGCAAAATAAATCAGAGGCCTTGGCTGCCTGTGTGGGGCTGAGCTGTGGGACTCCTTGCCAATGTTGTGGGAAATAGATGAAACAGTCACATGAACCAGTTCAAGTCAGAGTTTGGAGCCCGGGAGTGATACAGCACCCACCACAGGCTGTGGAGGGCTGTTCTGAAGTAAGACTTTACATGGGAAAGTGACGTTTGAGGAATTACACTACCATACTGAAAGAAGCTATCCACTATTAATTTGGTGGCAAAAAATAGCTTTTATGCTTATTTCCTTCTACAAGTCACAGTTGTGTGAGTGATTTGAAATTTATTCGAGTAGGCATATAATTTTTGTATTTTGTTAACTACAGGTTCTTTCTGAAATTACTCCTCTGCAATCCTGCTAATCACAAGAGTATTAAGTTGAGCTTGAATTTTGATAGATGAAACAGTCACATGAACCAGTTCAAATCAGAGTTTGGAGCCTGGGAGCGATACAGCACCCACCACAGACTGTGGAGGGCTGTTCTGAAGTAAGACTTTACATGGGAAAGTGACGTTTGAGGAATTACACTACCATACTGAAAGAAGCTATCCACTATTAATTTGGTGGCAAAAAATAGCTTTTATGCTTATTTCCTTCTACAAGTCACAGTTGTGTGAGTGATTTGAAATTTATTCGAGTAGGCATATAATTTTTGTATTTTGTTAACTACAGGTTCTTTCTGAAATTACTCCTCTGCAATCCTGCTAATCACAAGAGTATTAAGTTGAGCTTGAATTTTGGTCTGAATCTTGACTTTCTGACCCTGCACTGAATGTGCGCTTCTGAAAGTAAAGACAAGCATCTCTTATCCCTGACAATTAAAGTTCCATGGTCTGAATCTTGACTTTCTGACCCTGCACCGAATATGCACTTCTGAAAGTAAAGACAAGCATCTGACAATATCCCTGACAATTAATGTTCCGAAACTTTGCTTCTCTGTGATACAGCTGTTGTTTTTCAGAACGGAAAAGGAACGTGTGGACCATCTCAATAGCTTGCGTAGAGGTCCCAGTGCCTTTTCTGTAGTGAAGAGACATGGACAGTCCTTCGCTCCATGGTGTTGATGATGATGACGAGGTGAGGAAGGAGGTGCAAAGGGGCACACCACAGATATGTGGCAGAGGTGCGTGTTTGTGTGTTCCAGCCACGCAGACAGACTGGCCAGTCCATGTCACCTGCAGAGGAGCTTCAGCAAAAGCTGAAACTGTGCAAAAACTTCGCTGTAGGCTAAAGTAATGGTACTTTTCCTCCTTAAACTCGGAGAGTCTTCCACGGTTCATTTACTAAGATTGTATGAAAGGGAAGTTATTTGCCCCAGAGTAAACAGCACAGTTCTCATTTTATCCCGCTGAGAAAGATGATGTGCTCAATTGACCCTGCTGTGAAAAGCAGAAGTCATTTTAGGCTCACTTCATTTTGCAAACTCAGGGGAATAGTTACAATGACCACCAATCAAATTTATAAACAATCTGTAGGATGCAAGCCTGAGAAAATGAGATTAAGAGCTGTCAAATAAAATGATTGGATATTAATTATAGCCTTCCTGAACATTCCCCCGAGTCTCTGGAGATGCTGCACCTTCTTTTTCATCAGAGGTCATGTAGTAATATGAGCCTTAACTATTAGCAGTTCCATCTGGGTCCAATCCTTCACTTCCTTAGATCTCATAAAGTAATTTTCGGCCGAGCACAGAGGATGTAAAATACTACCTTTCAGAACATTATGCTTTCTTTGCAGAAGCCTTAGCGACTTTTCAAGATGCAAGGAAGCAGAGGAGGTCAGCTGTCACTAGGAGATGATGATTAGAATAATGAAGTGTTCTCCAGTTCATCTATCCTCTCAGTTTACACAGGTTTTTATCATTAATAAAGATTACTTACCATTTATTGCCCCCCTCCTCCCTCCCCCAAAAAATATCTGTAAGCATTTTCTAATTATTCTTTGTAGGGATTGCCCTTATTGCAAATGTAGTGTCAAATCCCAGCCTAGCTCTAAAGCTGCAAGTTCTGACATAAATATACTCCGAAAATCAGGCAGCGAAGAACCTGATTAATGCAGCCATATTACTTTTAATGGTTGAGCTAATTCGTATGCGTCTTTGCTGCATTAGCCAATACAGCACAGACATACCCTTAAAACCTTGTCTACACTGTGAATTTCATTTGAGGTTTAATTCAAGTATTGCCCCTAATACGACTTCCATCTGCACATAAAGTCTTTATTACACTGATTATGATATATATTAATATATATATTATTAATACACAATTATTATATATTATACAGATATTCTGTGTTGTATAGGTAAAAACCACAGTCAGCGTGATTTGCCAACTGCTAACATAACTCTTCCTCAGTGTGGGTACAGGCCAGATCCGCTCAGTGGCCCCAGTCCCAAAATGTTTTCCACAATCCCCTACTGTGCTCAGAAGACATCTTTCTGCATGCCTCCAGACATGAGAAAATTCAAAGACTGCAAAGAATCTTCTGGCACTACACCTCTAGAAATTTGACTTTAGCAGCCAAACAGGAACAGAGGGTGTGTGCACTCAGCTTGAGTGCTGTTTCACAGTCTGACTGTTCTCACTTGAGTTAGTTTAACATGAAGCTTTTTCCAATGCAGAAGAACCCAAGTGAACCCTACAGCAAGAACATACCCAAATGCTGATGGGATTTTTACCCGTGGTCTTCCTCAGCCTACTGAATGAGTGAGCGTCATGATTTAACAGCAGCCAGCAATGAGGACCACGTAGCTGCTCACTCCATCCACCCCCAGTGGTGTAAGGAGAAGAGGGACAAAAGGAAGGGGTGAGAAACTTGTGGGTTGAGATAAAGACAGTCTAATAGAACAGTAACAGAAGAGGAATAATAATAATAATAATGATTATTGTTGTTGTTTTAAAGAATATACAAATTAAAGTGATACAACACGAGTTGCTCTCACCACCCAATGGTCGGTTGTCCAGCCTGTCTGGAGCAGTGGTCATGGATCCCTGCCCTCTGGCCAGCGCCCATTTATATACTGAGCAGGATGTCTATGGTATGGAATATTCTTTTGGCCACCTTGTCCAGTGTCTGGGGCTCCCTCTCAGCTTCTGTGGGAAGCTGAAAAAGTCCTTGACCAATATAACATCACTTAGCAACAATTGAAACAATATGGGTTATCAACATTCACAGAATCACAGGATCTTCTAGGTTGGAAGGGACCTTAAAGATCATCTTGTCCAACCGTCAACCTGACTGACAAAAATAGACACCCACACAACAAACAAGGAGCATCATCACTAAACCAGACCTCCCAGCACTACATCAACCCGTCTTTTGAACACCTCCAGGGATGGTGCCTCAACCCCCTCCCTGGGCAGCCCATTCCAAAGCCTGATAACCCTTTCAGTGAAAAAATTTTTCCTAATATCCAGCCTGAACCTCCCCTGGCGCAACTTGAGGCCATTTCCTCTTGTCCTGTCGCCTGTGACTTGAGAAAAGAGACCGACCCCCATCTCTCTACACCCTCCTTTCAGGGAGTTGGAGAGAGCAATAAGGTCTCCCCTCAGCCTCCTTTTCTCCAGGCTGAATACCCCCAGCTCCCTCAGCCTCTCCTCATGAGACTTGTGCTCCAGACCCCTCACCAGCTTTGTTGCCCTTCTCTGGACCCGCTCCAGCACCTCAATGTCTTTTTTATGGTAGGGGGCCCAAAACTGGACACAGTACTCAAGGTGAGGCCTCACCAGTGCCGAGTACAGGGGGACATTGTTCTCATACTGAATCCAAAATACAGCAGCTACTAGAAGGAAAATTAACTCTATCCCAGGTGAAACCAGGACAGTGAGTGAGATCAACATCTTGGTACATACAATAGCAATTCAGGTATAAAAACACACCGTGAGGTTCCTGCCATAAAACAGCCATCAATACCTGACTGCGACTTTACAGTACATGTTATCTTCTGAAATAATGGAGATTTTAAAGCTGTAAATTTAAATCAAGTCCTGGCAATATATGCAGATCTTTGGATTATAACTACTTAAACTATATATTCGTCCACCCTAAGTTCCTCTAACCCATCCACCCAACCTCCAACTCTTCTGCATTCTAGTGGTCCATAACTATAGCTGTTTCCTCAGGGTTCACACAAAAAGCAAAGTCCTGCCTCACTGAAACCATGACAGTTTTTGAGATCAACAAAATCAGAGTTTCTCTAGAAACTTTCACCTCTTAAGTATGTTCACATATGGCAACAAGCTCTTACAAAAATATTGAATATTCTGTTACAACATTAGTTGTCCTTCCACCTGAAGACATTGTCTATTATCCCCAAAGAGTCCCGATTCTTTGTAAATTATAACCATATATTAAAAATAGTCAACCTTTCTGTTGATTAGATGAATAAATTTTAGCCTGAAAGTTTGATTTGTTTTTCTCAATGCACCATAGGTTTTGCAGAACATTTTGTAAATTTTGATTCTTATTTAGAATTCATGGTGAATGTAATAATATAAGGTGAGATGGTCTGTGTAAACCTTCTTTGTTTTGCTTTCAATGAAATGGCAACTTCAAATATCTGCTATTCTTTTTCCTGAATCTTAAAAGACACCAATAACATTTTTTCCCGAAGTAAGTATTAGAAAAAACATCATATCTGTCTTTATTTCTTAATTAATTTAGATTATTTTAGTTCTTCCCTACTTTATTCCATTTGAAGTAAATATAATACTTCTTATTCAAACATTTTTAACCCCAAGCTGCTCTTTTTATCTAAATAGGAGTTATATTCCTCTTGTAAATCACTTACATAATCATCTTTCTATTACCCAAAACTTGAATCTGTCAAGGTTTATGCACTTGAAGCATTGATGGTTATGTTATTCTACTCTCTAGTCCATGCAGAATCAATGACACCATTTTACTTCGGGTGGAGCTTTTTGGTATGCCTACGTGCTGAACAATCACTTTACAGTCTACGGCTCGCTATTAATTGTGTAGCCAGCAAATGCATCAGTCTTCATGGTGATCAAACCAAGGTGCATCTGTGCACATCAGTGAAGAGTGGTAAATCTCACACTGCTTTTCTTCCAGGCTCATGCTCCACTGGTTTTAAGAAAGTCGTATAGTTGAACAAGAATATCATTCAAAGAATTCATCCTTACTCTAACTTTTCTTTGATATATCTCTTATGTGACACTCCGCAATCTCTCTGCATTATTTTCTCTAGCACTAAAAAAAACCAATATAATTTATCCTTCAGTTATTGTGAGAATTTCTCGATAATGTAACAACAGTCATAAAAGAGAGTGCTAAGTATTACTAGGTGTTATTGAAGTAGTGTCCAATGATGTAAAGATATCTTCCATTTTCTATTCAAAAATAATTCTCACTGGTTTCTTCTCACCTAAATTAGGATGGACATAGAAAGAGTAACAGCAAGTAGCCACTGATATGAAAATTATATATCAGAGCTCCAATTCCATTTTAGTAGCAAATGCTTTTTTTTCAGGAAGATGATATACGGAAGAGATGAAGATGTAGCAGTGTTTTCACACAGTTGCCAATTTATTATGTTTGTATAAATATTTAATACAACAATCTCTTTCTAAAGGAAGAATACGGTTTGCATTTCAAGTCTTGTAGTTTTCTTACATTTTCTTACTGCTAAATTCCTCCAAAACTTTAATTACTTGCTGGACATCCACAAGAGAGGTGGTTTGCATTTTTCATTGCTCGCCAGTGGTCATCAGGCTTATCTCCTGGGGTTAGCACTGTACTTGCTAGTGGCCTTAATATGTAAAAGGTGAGTAAAGTTGTTGTATCCTTCTCTGGACCCGCTCCAGCACCTCAATGTCTTTTTTATTGTAGGGGGCCCAAAACTGAACACAGTACTCAAGGTGAGGCCTCACCAGTGCCCAGTACAGGGGGACAATCACCTCTCGGGCCCTACTCCCCACGCTGTTCCTGACACAGGCCAGGATGCTGGTGGCCTTCTTGGCCACCTGGGCACACTGCTGGCTCCTGTTCAGCCCACAGGCCACCAACACCCCCAGGTCCTTTTCTGCCAGGCAGCTCCAGCCACTCTGCCCCCAGCCTGTAACGCTGCAGGGGGTTGGTGTGACCCAAGGGCAGGACCTGGCACTTGGCCTTGTTGAACCTCATCCCGTTGGTCTCGGCCCATCGATCCAGCCTGTCCAGATCCCTCTGCAAAGCCTCTCTACCCTCCAGCAGATCAACACTGCCACCCAGCTTGGTGTCGTCTGCGAACTTACTGAGCCAGCATGGGGCTGCTTTTGGGATTTGTGATGAAGACAGTGTTGATGATACAGGATGTTTTAGTTCCAGCTGAGCAGTGCTTACACCGACTCAGAGCCTTTTCTACTTCTCATACCATCCAACCAGCGAGTAGGCTGGGGGTGCCCTATAAGTTGGGAGGGGACACAGCTGGGACAGCTGACCCCAACTGACCGAAGGGATATTCCATACCGTATGGCGTGATGCAATAAAAAGCCAGGGGAAGAAGAAAGAGAGGGAAGGTTGGAGTGATGGCTTTTGTCTTCCCAAGTAACTATGATGCATGATGGAATTTGAATAATGAGGTGAAGCCTCTGTTCTCAAAGATCTCTTGGGCAACCTAGGGAAGTGAAGACTTGCTTGTCCATCACAGGGTGTATAAGTAACGGGGAGTCCTGGGGAAGCAGGACAGTCCTTTTTGTCAGTAAAGGCAGTAAAATCAAGATAACAGAGACTCTGTGTAACTCTTTGTTTCCTTGAGAGGCTACCATGCTCGATAATTGACCTTTGCCTCATTACCTATGAAATGCATATTAAACTTGACACCCCTGTATATACTAATGAAGATTTTAGAGATCACGCTAAACATATATGACTATAGCACATCTCTCCACCCAAATCAGACTACATGTCACCTAGGGGAGGGAAACCTCACAATTTTGGGGATAAAAGATGGAGAAAATGACTGTTAAATTAGGACCACTGATATGAAAATTATATATCAGAGCTCCGATTCCATCTTAGTAGCAAATGCTTTTTTTCAGGAAGATGATATACAGGACCAGTCGAGGGGCTGCGTTCCTCCTTCCACCCCAGGCAGTGAACCCTTTCTAGGTAAGCGCTGTGCCTTTCGTCCTCAGGTGAATGTTAACCCTGGGTCATTGTACTATCTTTCTAAAGGAAGAATACGGTTTGCATTTCAAGTCTTGTAGTTTTCTTACATTTTCTTACTGCTAAATTCCTCCAAAACTTTAATTACTTGCTGGACATCCACAAGAGAGGTGGTTTGCATTTTTCATTGCTCGCCAGTGGTCATCAGGCTTATCTCCTGGGGTTAGCACTGTACTTGCTAGTGGCCTTAATATGTAAAAGGTGAGTAAAGTTGTTGTATTTTATTATTAGGAACCAGAAATGCATATTAAGTGGAGAACAGCTATTTTAAAATTACTTTAAAGCGAAGAAAAATATTGCTGAAGCTGTCCATAGATAGCAAGGACACGCACAACTAGCCAGAGAGGCTGTCAGCATGTGTTTCAGCCACAAAGGCACCCATTTCAATAACCAACATAACCACAGCTGTCAATCCCTTTTCCTACTTCTACTTATTTGTTTCGAGGAGTTCTCCAAGGACAGCCATAAAGCAGCAGCCTAGGAGCAGGAGAGGACTCCCATTGGAAAGGAATGACGAGGCAACTTCCATCAGGTAGATTTTTCCATTGGCAGAGGAAGGCGTCTCCTTTATCTTGGTATTACCCACAGGGGTTTTATCTTACAATGCTTCAAGGAACACACATGCTTGCACACCCTGTGTGCTAATACAGAAAACACCTGTAATCAGTTCCACCGTGTGCTGGTTTGGGCTGGGATAGAGTTCATTTTCTTCATAGTATCACAGAATCACAGAATCTTCTAGGTTGGAAGGGACCTTAAAGATCATCTTGTCCAACCGTCAACCTAACTGACAAAAATAGACACCCACACAACAAACAAGGAGCATCATCACTAAACCAGACCTCCCAGCACTACATCAACCCGTCTTTTGAACACCTCCAGGGATGGGGCCTCCACCACCTCCCTGGGCAGCCCATTCCAATGCCTGAGAACCCTTTCAGTGAAAAAATTTTTCCTAATATCCAGCCTGAACCTCCCCTGGCGCAACTTGAGGCCATTTCCTCTTGTCCTGTCGCCTGTGACTTGAGAGAAGAGACCGACCCCCACCTCTCTACACCCTCCTTTCAGGGAGTTGTAGAGAGCAATAAGGTCTCCCCTCAGCCTCCTCTTCTCCAGGCTGAACACCCCCAGCTCCCTCAGCCTCTCCTCATAAGACTTATTCTCCAGACCCCTCACCAGCTTTGTTGCTCTTCTCTGGACCCGCTCCAGCCCCTCAATGTCTTTTTTATGGTAGGGGGCCCAAAACTGGACACAGTACTCAAGGTGAGGCCTCACCAGTGCCGAGTACAGGGGGACAATCACCTCTCGGCCCCTACTCCCCACACTGTTCCTGACACAGGCCAGGATGCTGTTGGCTTTCTTGGCCACCTGGGCACACTGCTGGCTCCTGTTCAGCCCACAGGCCACCAACACCCCCAGGTCCTTTTCTGCCAGGCAGCTCCAGCCACTCTGCCCCCAGCCTGTAACGCTGCAGGGGGTTGGTGTGACCCAAGGGCAGGACCTGGCACTTGGCCTTGTTGAACCTCATCCCGTTGGTCTCGGCCCATCGATCCAGCCTGTCCAGATCCCTCTGCAAAGCCTCTCTACCCTCCAGCAGATCAACACTGCCACCCAGCTTGGTGTCGTCTGCGAACTTACTGAGCCAGCATGGGGCTGCTTTTGGGATTTGTGATGAAGGCAGTGTTGATGATACAGGATGTTTTAGTTCCAGCTGAGCAGTGCTTACACCGACTCAGAGCCTTTTCTGCTTCTCCTACCATCCAACCAGCGAGTAGGCTGGGGGTGTGCTATAAGTTGGGAGGGGACACAGTTGGGACAGCTGACCCCAACTGACCAAAGGGATATTCCATACAGTATGGCGTGATGCAATAAAAAGCCAGGGGAAGAAGAAAGAGAGGGAAGGTTGGAGTGATGGCTTTTGTCTTCCCAAGTAACTATGATGCATGATGGAATTTGAATAATGAGGTGAAGCCTCTGTTCTCAAAGATCTCTTGGGCAACCTAGGGAAGTGAAGACTTGCTTGTCCATCACAGGGTGTATAAGTAACGGGGAGTCCTGGGGAGGCAGGACAGTCCTTTTTGTCAGCAAAGGCAGTAAAATCAAGATAACAGAGACTCTGTGTAACTCTTTGTTTCCTTGAGAGGCTACCATGCCCGATAATTGACCTTTGCCTTATTACCTATGAAATGCATATTAAACTTGACACCCCTGTATATACTAATGAAGATTTTAGAGATCACGCTAAACATATATGACTATAGCACATCTCTCCACCCAAATCAGACTACATGTCACCTAGGGGAGGGAAACCTCACAATTTTGGGGATAAAAGATGGAGAAAATGACTGTTAAATTAGGACAGAAGCAACTTAATACCTGAGGGACCAGTCGAGGGGCTGCGTTCCTCCTTCCACCCCAGGCAGTGAACCCTTTCTAGGTAAGCGCTGTGCCTTTCGTCCTCAGGTGAATGTTAACCCTGGGTCATTGTACTATCATTATTTTTGCTAGCAATATTAACCTTAATTAATTAGTGCTATTGTAGTTATTGAATTTATCAGCAGCAATCTTGAACTTGTTCTGCCGCTCTCAATAAAATAACTAATTTTTATTATTTGTGACTCTGACTCAGTGAAAGTCCTTTGCTGGGGCTCTAGTAGCAAATCAGTGAAAGTCCTGGGACTCTGACAGACAAATGTCAAAACTTTAGTCCTTCTATTGCGACAGAGCCCTGCTTTCCTGGAGGTGGCTGCACACCTGCTTATGGGAAGCAGTGAAGGAGTTTCTTGTTCTGCTTTGCTTGCACGCATAGCTTCTGCTGTACTTATTAAGCTGTCTTTACCTCAACCCACGAGCTTTCTCTCTTTTATCTTTCCTATTCTCTTCCCCATCGCACTGGGGGACGGTAAGTGAGCAGCTGCACGGTGCCTAGTTAACGGCTGGGGTTAAACCACAACACAGAGACAATAACATCCCGTTCGCAAAGGACTCTCAAGTCACTTTTGTCAGAAAACAAGTTGTGTTATTTTTCACAAAGTGAATGAGAATCACAGAATCACAGATCACGGAATCACAGAATTGTGGAATTGTTGGAGTTGGAAGGGACCTTCTAGAGCCCATCCAGTCCAACTCCCCTGATAAGCAGGATTGCCCAGAGCACATCACTCAGGAGCATCAAGGCGGGTCTTGAAGATCTCCAGAGAAGGGGACTCCAGCCTGAGAAAGAGAGGATTGAGAGGGAATGCTTGACGTGTTGGATGAAGATCACTGACTTGGGAACTCCCAATGCACTGATTGTAAGAAAGAAACGACACACAAGCACCAGTAGTTTATGCATGGAGAGGGCCACTTCATATGATAGTTCACTAAGCCCCTCCAGATAGAAAATTACAAGAATCATAGAATCATAGTATCTCTTTTGTAGATCTTGAGAAGAAATAAAAGAATGTAAACTCTGTTGGAGTGCCAGAAATAAAAAGCATTTTAAATATATGTATATATATTTTATAAAAAATATGTGATTTATATATTATATATTTTATATATATTACATATAATATATACATATATATTATTTATAATTTTATGTATTTTATAAATATATATACACACGTATCACATATATATTCTTTTTAAATATGTATAAATGGTTCTAGTACCCATATTTTCTTGGAGTAATATAGAAATACATATTTGAATGCTTAAAATGCCAACACCTACACCAATTTATTTTCTGTGGTGTTTTTCTCCTTTTACCCACTTCAGTAAAGTGACAATGTATTATTTTTTTTTTTAGGAAACAACAACAGGGAGGTGATTTAGCAGTCTTCAGCAAAGCAGTACAGATCTTGAGTCTGAGATGCTCACACCCATTAAACCACTATATTACCTAAGCTATCTCAGATCTCCATCTTCCCATGGAGGTATTTATTATGCAGTACCACAGGATCACACTGTTAGTTCTGCGTGTATCCTATTGCCAGCATTTCATCATCTGTCCACGTTAACACTTTGGCAGACAACATTTTAAAAGACTTCTTTACAAAGAAAGATGTGAGAGAAATTTCAAACTGACAGCAGCATTCGTCAGCTCGTATCCTCTGGAATTCAGATGTTTACAGAACATGGAGTCCTTTACATTATTAGGTGTCTATGAACCAGTAATACTTTCTAAGACTCACACCTACTTACTTTCTCTGAAACAGACAAGTATACTAAGAGGTTTGGGAGTGTATGATGGCCTAGTTTTGTTCCTTAATATGTTAAAACATTTCAAGCATTTTATAAATTCCATTCAAGTCACCGCAAAATTTCCTTGTACTTTCAAGAAAATTCAGAATACTGTTATAATGACTTCAATTTCAGTGAAAACTAGTAATAGAAATAGGAAAATAGAAATTGTGATAAATTCAAACAGTGAAATTCACTTCCAAATAAAAAAGCTAGCACAGGAATTTCCCAGCTCCTACCCGTGCCTTGGTATCTCCTAAAATGTGCTTAAGTAGTTCATGGGCTTGCTGACATCTGCACAGGTGTGGAGTTCATCTGATTTCATGCACAGTATGGTATTGCAGCAACTTGCATATGGCCAAAAATGTCACAGTTTTCTGTGCAGAGATAAAATAGATGTTTGTTTCAAATATAAATTCAGTCTCTATTTTTTGCAGTCATTTTGTGTTCTAATTATAACAATCTAATTTGTAAACAACACATGCTGAGGTTTTGACAGTGAATTTCTGATGAAACACAGAGTACAGATTTTAATTACATACAGTTCTAATGCAGCGAGCACTGCAGCATTTTTGTCATCTTTGAAATGGTAGAAAAATGTAAAAAAGAAAGGTTTTTGAAATATGAGCACGAAGGTAATGAGATCAATAAATGTCAGCTAGAATAAGTAACCACAACTCTAGAGACTCACTAACCTTTCTACAAATTCCAGAAATAATAGACTGGCTTGGATGAGGAATTCTTTAACAATGAGAAACAGATATAATTATGAGGGGGAAGTGAGCCAATGACTGGTGAATAATACCAAAAGGATTGCCTTTTTAGGTAAATAAGAGAAAACAATCAATAATTTCTATGATCCTCACCAATGCACTTCCTTTTGCACCTTCTGATTTTGAGAGCAAAATATAATAAAAACACCTATGTAGACCTAGATTTAAAATATTAAATATGACATGAAGTGCAGTAAGAGATAATGATTTTCCAGACTAATGGCCTGATCCTTCTCTCAGACAGACAAAAACGTTAGAACATAATTGATCTCTGTATAAATTCCACATACTTGGCACTCCCAAGATTTGGTGGGGTATGGATTATATATATAATTTATGCAAACCCAGAGTTTAAGAATGAATTAATTTGAGAAAAGAAACTGTGTTATGTTTTAATGGTAGAATCTAACGTCTGCAAGATAAAACATATATCGTGTCCAGAGTGTTGCATTAAGTAATATTTGAAATGGTAATGTTGGGGGGGGGGTGTTTTTGGATTTGTATTATTTTGCTTTGGTTTTTTGTTTTTGCTTTTTAAATTAAAAGTGCAAGAGGAATTGAACCTGAGGTGAAAATGGAGAGGAACAAAATAAGCAGATGGACAATAATATTTTTTTTCCTGAAAACATATTAGCCTTTTTGAAGGATATGCAAAATACACTAAGGATTTATGTGTATAACAAACAAATTTTAGGGAAATTGCCTTTAAAAAAGAGTGGTAGAGAAAACATGGAAAATAATTTTTATTTTATCATCAGTTTTTTTTTACCCCAGCATTGATTGAATATTTTTTGGAGTAGATAACAAAAACGGATGGGCAGAGACTGAGATCCAGTCATTATAGTCCACTTAGTGTTTGCAAGCAAAGGTATACAATTTTTAAAATTATAATTTTCAAGTGGTAAGACAGGCATAAAACCAGCTAGAGATATTAGCAGTTTACATTTCACGTTTAAAGTGCTAATCTAGAATAATAAATGCAAAAAGGCTCCATATAGAACATACGAAGTATTACAGTATCACCATTAACTTCTGTGATCAAGTTTCTATTTTCTATTACTCTGTATGTCCTTTTGGGAAATTAAAGGAATTGAAGAACTAAGGGACTATCTTTGAAATTCTCTGAGAGTCTAATTCTAATTCCACATACATACATTATTCCCTTTGCTTTGCTTCAAACTACTTTTGCGAGAAGGGTTGTTCACGTATGTATGTGCATGTATAACATTTTTATATATAACATTTTAAATACATATTTGTATATTACATGTTGCAGGAGTGGAGTTCCTGGAGGGAAGTAGATCTGCGTCTGGTCTGCAACCCAACAGAAAGTTGCAGGTTGCTGTGATGACACCCTGTGTTTCCAGCACAGAGCTAAAATGAATATTCTGAAACCTGAGTCAAACCATTCTGCAAACCTGTAAGCGTTAATTCCCGAAATAAACACACTGATTTTCTCCTCGACTTACCTCCTTTTAACATGTCTCTAAGTGCTTATGGAGTGTCCCTACCCCAAGGGTCCTTATGCTGCAGGGATTTTTGATTGACAGAAAGGTGTAATCCAGCTACCACATTTAGTCCATTTCCTCCAGAGTCTGAGTTTTAAAATAATGCATCAAAAGCCACAGCTATGGCTGACAAAACCAAGAGACCCACTGACTGCCAGAGGTACTTCAAGTCTACTATCAGTTGCCATTGCTAATCCATGAAAATGTTTGCATCCTGTCGAGCTAGGAATTTGACTGAAATGGCTTGTGGAACATTCTTCTTTTCTGGATTTCATGTCGCCTCATGCTTAGTAAATATTCTCTCTCTTCTTGATACAATCGGGTGGTTGCTGAGAGTCACTCCAGGAGCACAATCTGGATTTCAAGTCAATTCAGTTGAGCGGGACTTAGCGTAAAAGTGCAGTGGCACCAGCAGAAGTGCAGAAAGGGCTGTGGAGAGGAGCTTCTCTGCTCCAGCCACCCATGGCTGTGGGAACAGCCGTGGATATGTGGCCGTCCATTAGATGACTCTGAAGTCAGCAGAGCTTTGGAAGTGGCTGCTGTGTTCAGAGAGTACCTGTGTGTGTGCATGACATGGGAGCAGTTCAAAGCCACAAGCAGCTGCTGGAACCATTCCCAATCCAGGTAAGCAAAAAGCTTTCAGCTTTGGGAAATAAAGACAGGTTACGTGCCAATTATAACGCTGTGTTTTGTGTTCCAGAGAAGGGCAACAAAGGTGGTGAGGGGTCTGGAGAAAAAGTCTTATGAGGAGGGGCTGAGGGAGCTGGGGGGGTTCAGCCTGGAGAAGAGGAGGCTGAGGGGAGACCTTCTGGCTCTCTCCAACTCCCTGAAAGGAGGGTGTAGAGAGGTGGGGGTCGGTCTCTTTTCCCAAGTCACAGGCGACAGGACAAGAGGAAATGGCCTCAGGTTGCGCCAGGGGAGGTTCAGGCTGGATATTAGGAAACATTTTTTCACTGAAAGGGTTCTCAGCCATTGGAATGGGCTGCCCAGGGAGGTGGTTGAGGCACCATCCCTGGAGGTGTTCAAAAGCCGGGTTGATGTAGTGCTGGGAGGTCTGGTTTAGTGATGATGCTCCTTGTTTGTTGTGTGGGTGTCTGTTTTTGTCAGTTTGGTTGATGGTTGGACAAGATGATCTTTAAGGTCCCTTCCAACCTAGAAGGAGATTCTGTGATTCTGTGTTCTAGTACCCCAAGACTCTGAGCTGTATAAATGGGGTTCCTGGTATGCAGGTATGGATAGGAAGCTACATTTAAGTATAAAAATCTTTTCAGCCTATGATTTTGAATGAGGTGAGTTTCAGTGAAATCGTTTCTTGCCCGTAAAGGCTTGGCTGAGGCACAGCCTTTCACCTGTAGGATTGCTCAGAGTAGTCTAAAGAAAAGCTGGCTCCAGAGAGCTGCAGAAGGGTCTTGCAGGTGACAGGGCAGTAAAATGGCAGATGAAACTCAGTGACAACAAACACAAAACAACATGTATGGGGAAAATAACTCAAATTACACATCCACAATGTTGGTTAATTACCTATTGCCACTCACTGAAGAAATGTTAAAGTTCCTGGACAGGGCTATCCAAAAATGCCAGCCCATTGCTCAGCAACAGTCAAAAATGCCAGCCCATTGCTCAGCAACAGTCAAAAATGCCAGTCAAATGTTACAAACTGCTAGGAAAGCTTTGAAGAGCAAAACAGAAAACATTTTAACACACTCTACTCTGAAAGCAAAGGTGAATTAGGTTGGGACTAGAGAAGTAGAAATTCAGTGAAATTCAGTGAAATGGTGCACAAGCTGAGCTGTGAATTACTCTTTCCAATTTCTAAATATGCAAGAAGTAGAACAAAAACATTATGTGGAAGCAAGCTTAAACAAAGAGTTCTGTTGCATAATCCATCATCAGATTATCAATTAATTGCTCCAGGAGGTTTGTCAGCAGAAAATATAAGTGAACTAGATTCCTGGCGGGCTATTGAAGAGAAAGGTTGAAATGGATATTCAAAGTTAAGAAGTCCCTAAACTACTGATTTGCTAGAGTAATTGTTCATAGAAGAACAAGGGCAAGTTTAAATTTTCTTGATTTATGGTACTTTGCTGACCATTATCAGAGAGAAGATAGTGGACAGCTCAATACACAAACTTTTATGTTCTTTAGTTATGATGCAGTTATAATTTCTGTTCCAAATGATGTCTTAATCCTTATCTAAAAATGGAGTAGAATTGCCGTTCAAAGTGGCTTTGACAGACTGGAAAAATGAGCCAACAGAAACCCCATTAAGTTCAACAGTGACAAAAAAAACCCTCCTACAGCCAGGACACAGTAACCTCATGCAACAGCGCATGCTGGAGACCAACAAGCTGAAAAGGAGCTCTTTGCATAGTTCTAGCAAGATTGTAGGCAACAGGTCAATGGATGTGACTAATTCCTCCTACTCCGCACTTGTGAGACCACACCTGAGTACTGTACCCAGTTTTGAGATCAACAGAATAAGCAAGAATTTAATACACCAGAGTAAATAAATCCAAGACAGTTACGGAACTGTAGCACACTGGACACAAGGAGAGGGTGAGGGAGTTGGCTGTGTTGATGCTTATCACCTAGACTTGTCCTGTAAAACAGAGCACTGCTGCAATATCAGGGTTGAAAGTGGTAGGAACTTCGTATTTGGCATCTAGCTGACTTGCTTACTAGATGTCTCACTTTCTGCATTCACACAGCACACAGCATCTCAGTGATATAAAACCAGAAAGACCAATGGAAACAAAGAAGAAAAAGTAATGCACTTTGAAATTGGACTTTCATCTGACAGCCCAGTGTAAATGTCTGAGCTCTGCTCAGTGGCTACCAAGAGTGCAGATAGAGGCTAGCCATCAGCTGGGTTTTGGACAGTACCACAGAATCACAGAATTCTCTGGGTTGGAAGGGACCTTTAAGATCATCTAGTCCAACCATCAACCTAACTCTGATAAAAACCATCACAAAATCATGTCTCTAAGCGCTATGTCAACCCATCTTTTAAACACCTCCAGGGATGGTGCCTCAAGCCCTTCCCTGGGCAGCCCATTCCAATGATTAATAACCCTTTTAAGTGTAAAATTTTTTCCCAATATCCAATCTGAACCACCCCTGGTGCAGTTTGAGGCCATTTCCTCTTGTCCTGTAGCCTGTGACTTAGGAAAAGAGACCGACCCTCACCTCTCTACAACCTCCAGTCACGAAACACTTGGAAACATTTCTTTTTTCAGATCAAAATTTTAAATTATAAAATTTAATTTTAAACGCAAAACACAGACACACACACATGCGCATTCATGCTCCTAGTCAACGATGGTATTAGAAAACTTCTGCTTTGATGTTTTAGCTTCAAGAAAAAACCTTTATAATTGCAATGGAAGGCTGATGATCAAAAGTTTCCTCCATGGCAATTCTCAATGCCTAAATACTGCTATTCATTGCTTGCATTAGTTCCCACTTCACAGAAGCACAGTACCTCCCTGTATCCTTGGGGGAAGACAAGTTCCTCCTGCTGTCAGCCTGCAAGAAATAAGGTTTCTGCATGGAAGAAGAGGACTGTCCCAGCTGACAAGTGCAAAATGGAGGCAGAGAGAAATCACACTAAAAAGACTTGCTGAAGGACTTGTAGCCAAGATCAAATCTGGATAGATCTATATTACTGTAATTTTTTCAGAGGTACTTTTGACACGTATCATTAAGGAAGATCTATGTCTCAAGTTTACCACAAGATGGAGGTGCTGTAACTCAGAATCGCTCATTAAGGGAAATTAAGGAAAATGGTAGGTGTTTTACAACGGGCACTGTAAATTTTTATGGACATATTTAAGAAAGTAATCAAAAATAATTGTATGCAACCGTGTCATATTATCTTGTTAATTTATTTTAAGCAAACTATGTAATGACATATCTAACCATCTTTGGACCAGGACTAGTTCAAAATGCCTCAGCATTGCTTTTAAATTACTGAATGCTGCAGATACTATTCTGAGTCCCATATCCATTGGAGGTGGAGATGGCTGATAATGTAACTTCTTCAAAAGCATCCAAAGTGATGGCTGCCGGAGTCAGGTGGGTGCCACCTTCTTGGACATATTATTCTGAAATGATCTTTCCCTAAATTGAGCCTTCTGGAGCTTGGCACTAACCAAAAGAGATGATAAAGGATGTTTTTGTCTGTAACAAGTATAGGTCTGATTGTGCTCTGACCTCCATCAGAAGACCCAGGATGGTGTTTGCCATCAAAACGTTCTGAAACTGCTAAATAAGTCATGATTATAGTGTAGCTCACTTGCTTGTAATAAAAGTTGCTGAAGCAGAGACAAATAATGAACCTTCATTTAGGCTTTCTGCACAAGCCCAGCAGATCTTGGAGGTGAGCTGTTCCTCTGCTCCAAAAGCTTTGTCTTTTGAGTGTGTGTGGAAAAGTTCTTGTCCTGTGGTTTCTTCTTTTATTCAAAATTTCAAAGAGAAAAGGTTAAACATTTTTTTCTGCTGCTCTGCATTTACCTTCCTATCTTCCTTGCTACCTGTTGTTTTGCTGTTTTCAGGAGAATTTGAAACGTAAGTGAAATTGGTTGGTCCAGGTTACATTACAATAACACAGAAGTGGGAACAATCAGAAAGGAGAGCGTTATGAAGGCACGAGTTTTGATAGTTTTGTGCTAGTTGGATACTTTTGATGTTCAGTGAAGCTATGTTTGCATCGAACAAGTACAACAATCCAGAGAAGTGAATCTCTTTAGGTGCTCCTAAGCCATGGACAAACAATCTCCTTAGGCCCCACTATGCAAATACCACCTTCATCTGCACATCACCCCTTCCCTGAGGAGAGCAACCACACCCCATCACCTGCTGGTTGCACAGTTCATGCAACCACAGTTTATTTCGTTTTAGTCAGATTAATTTAAACAAATTAAGAATCAAGATCTGAAAACATATAGATATCCCCCTAACCTAAAATAAATTATATTTCCATAGCAAGAAAAGCCAAAGGAACAGTAAGAGTGTGAGGAGGAACTGTGTAACGGTTGTAGACAGTGTCTGAAGGCAGAACAATTACTGTACGGCTTCGCAAGAGAGGGGAAATGAAACTGAAGTTCTCAAAAGAGTTCTCATTGTGCATGAGAAAATTGTGAATGCTGAAGGTGTTTAGAAAACAAGTTACATAATAGATTTAAATCTTATTTGATATATCATTATAGAGTTGCTATAGGATCCACATTATCATTCATTTTTAATTCATTCTTTAAAATGTAATGTACGTTGCCAGAGATATATAGCAGACAAAACTCACATAGTTGGGGAATAAATAAGTAAAAATGTATCAGAGATTTCAGTTGTAAAATATCTGCTATTTGCAATGACAGATTGCTACTGAGCAAGCTTGTGATTTACCACATACCATAAATAATTT